TTCCATTTCTGAAAAATGTCAAATTCCATTGCTTCGGTCTGGTTTGGTGCAAACCTGAATTCAGACACGAGTTCTGGTGTGTGCTCTGGGTGCTCACACTCTCCCAGCTCAGCTGCAATCAATCAATTCAAAAGTTAAAACCAAAGATCATGGGATGACTAGAAACATTTAATTCTATAATCTCCCCAAAGACAATGATAGTTTGAAGAATACACTTGTGATGATGTTGCAAGTTAACCCCTCACAACTCGAATCGAATTTTACAGCAAAAGTCAGAAAAATGCATTTGCAGCAGCAGTGTACAGTTATGGCACAGAATTCTGACATTCAAGAATGTTGTAACTAAACCCAACTAACTAAACTTCTCTGGATTTTAAAGTATTTAAAGGAAATAAAATTTCTATTAAAAACAAAAGTCAAGGCACTACTGTTCCAGAAGAGGTTACTTTGAAACTTCTTCTCATTGCAATGAGGTCATACTTCTCATTCCAAAACACTTCCCATTCTATTGCATGCTTTGGTACGTTACTGTTCATGTCAAAACATGAAGGTAATACCTAGTCTCAAGAAACCAGAGGTAGAGTTGTTGGAGGTTTTGTTTGTCTGTCTGTAAAACCACAGTGGTGGTGTAACATTCAGAGTAACTCATGTTTAAAGAAAGGAATGCTGAAGCATTAACATAACTGAGATGTCACTTTCTACTTATTTACTTAAGGCTGGGTATCTTCTTTTCCAGGAGCAGAACCCTTGTGACTTACGCTCTTAACTGTCTTGTGCCTGTGACTTGCTTTGCTCCTGGGGCCTCTCAGCTGTGCAAAGAGGCTGCAGTGTCACTGCCTTGGACTGCGAGACAAACATCAGTGGCAAATACATCCTTTAGCAACACGACGTGTCACCTCACCTATGATGTGATCCCAAACCAGGCCTTTGTCAGTTGGTGTTTCTTGACTACTACTACTATTACTACTAAAAACAATTTTTTAAAAAGTAGAGGAAAATGAAATCCCTTGAAGAAAACAGTTTAATTGCTTCAGTTTTACACGTAACAGTTGCAAAAACTTAATTCACACTCGGTCTTCAAAAATACCTAGCAGGATACATTAGGACATAGGAAGCTACACTCAAAATGCAGTCTTTTGACTGATACATCTACTAGGTGGTTTTGAGCACTTGAGTTTCACTCAAGCACTTAGCACTCCTGAGGACAGTAAACAGATCAAGCTCATTGATCTTCATTTCTAACTGCTGCTTCGCACACAGTTTTTCTCTTTAACAGTCATCTTCCATGGTGAGTTACACCATTCTTATCTATATGTCTTTTCCTTTAACAGAGGTATCTCAGCTCTTGTGCCATCTCATCTAAGTCAGAAGCCTTTTTAACACAGATGTTGCTAAGAATTACTGGCAGTCCCATCTCCAGAATAGAAGAGGGAGCCACAACAAACATTAAAAAGGAGGACGTCAGAGAAAAAAAGAGAAAGAAACTGAAGTTTGATGTGTTGACAACCATCTAGGAAAAACACAGGAGATTTCTCTACTAGTCAACTGACAGAAAAGGCGGGAATGAAGGCTGACTGTGCTGTAAAGAGGATGCATAAGGATGAGAAGAATCACGAGCGCATAAGACAAAAGAGAGACGAGAAGCTAGGGCAGAAGTATTAAGTACAAGAAAGATATCACCCTTGTTTCTCAATAGCTGCATTCACTGATTATTCCCTTTCAGGCAAACAGAGAATGCCATCATTTTGATCTCTGAGAAACCTTAGGAGTAAGAGCCAGCAAGAGTCTCACCAGCTCCTTGCACAGGGTAGAAGGGCAGTGGAAGAGGGGAGAAGCATGGGCCCCATACCAGGATGCTCTCACTGGTATCTTTCCTTGTGGAATTACGTTCCCTGAATGGCTCAGCAGCACTAATATTTTTCAACACAAGGGCACAGCAGAAGACCCATCTCTTCATTTGTGGTTTTATGACAAAGTGTTGTGCTTTGGAATGCCCCTTCTCTGGTCTTCTTTTTGTGGGGAGGGTAGATTGAGGGGTGTTACATAACACATTGATAGACATTATCCGTGTTCTTTAATAAGAAACTGCACAAAGTGGGGAACATTTTTAAAAGGAAGTTTCCTAGTAAATTTTCAAAAACTGCAAAAATGTGTTTATCTGTAAATATGTTGCTGATTCTTTCACACAAGGAAAAAAAAGTTTGCACTATTCCATTAAGATGTCTTATGATTAGGACTGAAAACTGGAGAGCTGAGAAAAAGTATTTCGTTTCAGTTTAATTAGTAGTTTCAAAAGTATACCTGGTTAAATACGAAAGACACACAAGTCTAATGAGGTAGTAAAAGACTTATGCTAGTCGTGATGATTCAAGTTTGATTACAGCCCTTCTGCAGATAATCCTTGAGCAAAGCATAAGATTATGTATCTGCTTCACAAGTTACTCCATACTGCAGGTCAATGTTATTTGCTACAGAGGTTTCTTCACAGGACTGACAACAAATCTACATTTTATGTTTGAAAAAAATGTCTGCCTTGGAAACTGCTGTTAGAAAGAAAGAAAGAATTACTGTAACAGAAACGCTTCCTTGATAAAGAAATTGTATGAAGTTTAATGCTGCCCTGTAAAAAGAAAAGGCCTTTTAGAGGGTTAGAGCATCAACTCCTAAATAGCCTTGTAAAACTTCTTCCTCAGTCTTAGAAAAGCAACACTGAGGAGCAAGATTTGGATTTCATAGAGTACATGTATCCTACTGAGGAGGGAATATTCTTTTGACATTTCTTTAAACTCTTCTGCCTAGCGAAAAGCTTCCAATGTCAAGAAAATATAAGAAACATTATAAAAAATGCTAATTATAGCATATGCCAGCAGAGATAAATGAGTTGTAATACTAAAATAATTTTGGAGAAACTTACTGCCACGATGTCAAAACAGTGAAAAAGTGAAACTGAAAAAAAGATGGCAGAAAAGTATAAAAATGCCACCACAATTTAAGTATGCTCCCACAGACAGTGTCAAGAAGTTATAGTTTTGGTACCTAGTTGGAGACATTATAAACATGATGGATGGCTATTGTATTACACTTGCATAGTCATCACAGGTGTCAGTTACTACTCAAAGCGTTGAGGCATCAACTCTTTTCTTGGCACTCCTTGCTTAGACCAGGGGTGAGGGTACCAGTGTTTTTATCTGTGAAGATGGAAGTAATGAATCAAACAGGGGCTTCAGATTTTCTCCATCTCAAGAAGACAAATGGAATTTGCCTGAAGCAGTTCTTTGCACACCTAATCATCAGAGCTGTGCCACACTGGTGCAAATGGAAACTGAGAAATAACCCGTGGTCTTAAGATTTACACCTGCTGCTGTTTGGAACTGAAATTTCAGTTTTGACTGTCAAGTCCATCTAGAATCACTGAGTTATCTCCATTCCTGTATTAAACTAAGAGTATTCCTATTGCCTAAGTATTCCATGTGCCATTGCCAACCATCAGCAGAACAGAAAGTATTTTTCATTTTAATTAATTTTGCTCATTTAAAAAGGATAATTAAAAAAACTAAAAACTTGATTTAAGCTTCATTACACAAGTTTCCTTCCTATCAGCAAAACAAACTGAAGTGAGTATTTGTATTAATGTATTCACAGCAATAAAAAATAAAAAATACTTTTTTCTACAGTATACTAATGAATCCTACTGTCCTGGGGTTTTTTTTTAATCTTGTAACCGTTGCTCCTGACACAGAAGTAATCTCAGTTCTCAGCTTTCCAGGTAACTCTCTGCTCCTCAGTACCTACACCCCCTCTCCATCCTGCCCTCTCCCATCTCACACCGTGGAGGCTCCTTCTCCCAAGCCCTGGCCAGGCAGCCCATGTTCAAAGCTACACCCGCAGGGACCCGTCACACAGCCTGTGCTGAAGAGGTAACACTGCACACACCCCACAGCTTCCCCCTCTGCGGGGAACTAGTTGGGGTCCTTCTTCCCTGGTCAGTCCCTTGGCAAGTGTGCCAATGCTGTCTAATGTACTTCAGAAGTTATGAATGCAGGGAAGGCAGGGCAGTGATCTCCTTAAAATTCTTCTCAGGTAAAGAAATGCCATTTATATACAATCAATGAGAAACCATTAGTATCGAAGAGTGAAAAGAAACTAGTAGGCGACTGTTTTAATACATTAAGACTTTGAAAAGACTGCATACCTTGAAGACACAGAGCTGCTAGTTCAACAGCAGTTTCATACGGGCATTTCAGTCTTAAAAAGAAAAAAAGCCAAGCTATAAAAATCATGTCTTTTTTCCTCAGTGAGTTCCTCTTGCAATAAAGCTAAAAAGTAGTCCGATATTTGAAATGGAAACATTCACTTCCACAAGCTATTAATGATACAAAATATCTACAATTAATTTTTTTGGTATATGATTATTTCCTAATTTGATACATTCACATTAGCATTAAACACATTATACGCTCCACCATGAAACAAGCTTGAATTAATAGAGACAACATTAAATTGACTACGAAAGAATTTTTTCCCCAACATTTTAGAACATGTAGCTTGGAGGCTTTTTAGTTTTGTAATTAAAAAGATAAAGCAGGTGTGAATTTATAGGCCAGGATGACACTATAAACACATAAAACATTTTTGCAAGGTTGAATTGTACAGAAAGTGTTGCACTTCATCATCTTTTCCTCCTCTATTTTACCAACTTACTGAAAAATATGGCAAGCCCAAGTTACATTTTAAAGTCACAAAAATCAGGACAATCTTCGCTCTCTTTATACATTTCCACCACCTGGTCAATCCACAATGGTCTTTATCTATTCTATTTGTCAATAATATAGGTCGTGGTGCACACAAAGCCAGATCTCTACTTTAAGGGGAAAAAAATGCACGTGGACCTGTAAACCATGTTTATAATCTGTGCACAAATACCATAAAGAATTAAAATGATCACGCAGCTAAAGAAAAATTTTAAATCACTAAGAGATTAACTATTATAAATACTTTAAATTACAGTTGCTAGTGCAAAGAGGTACTTACTTCCCTGAAAGAATGTCTTGCCGAAGCTGTAATACAAACAGGTACCTGACAAACAAAAATTCAGAAAGTCAAAAGTATATATAATGTCATCTTCTAACCCAAATGGCTGGAAAAATATCCCAATTCACTGAGTAGTCCCAACATTTTCATTAACTTGCTGTTAAAAAAGGGCCTTTTCAATCACTCAGATCTACCTTTAAAGTTCCCATAGCTTTCACTGAAACAAAAAAGAGGAGAACATTTTTCACCTATTGGCTGTGTTCAGGACATTGTCCAAGGCCTTGCTGTTTAGGGATGTGCTCTACCTGAGCATACACCACAACAATCTAAATGCTACTGACACTCCAACATGCTCCTGAACTGGTCTTGTCTAATTCAAGCAAGAATTGAACTACAGGATCTAGAGACAAAACGTAGATAAAGACTTCACAGCTGCCTTCTTAAATACAGAACACCAGAAGAGTCCAAAGAGGGCAAAAGGAAAAGCTCAGATGGAAAATAGCAGAAAAATTCTGAATAAAAGAAACCTGAACTGAATATAGCCTACCCATTTACTTAGGGGGCCAAGTAGGAATTTACAGCCTAAATTCCTAAAAAACTGTAGCAGTATTTTAAGCACTTGCTAATCTTCAGTTCTAGGCATGCTCCGTGTTTCACAGCCGCTCAGAGCTGGGGTCTGAGGCATGCAGAGGTGCCCCAGGTCACGCAAGAGCTCTGTAGAGGACAGGATAGCATGGGCAGGCTCTGCACTGCTCTGGACACTGTGAGGCAAGGCTTGCAATGGTGAGCGACTCAAGAAAAGAAAGCATCAAGCACTACAGAGAGTCAACTCGGTAAACACAAATGTAAATCTCTCCTATCTTTACAAAGGATTGTAGAAAGTGTTTTTCATCACAGAGGATATGAATATGGAGAAGGATGAATAATTGGAATCAGATAGGAAAGCAGAAATGAAAAGGAAGATTAAAAACACTTCTCATGATACACTAAAGCAGAATCACATCTATCCACATTAGCCCTGTGTCACAGCTCTGATTCACGTACTTGGCTAACACCTGACTTGCCTACCAAACCTGGGCATTTGCACGCAAATATTAAGGGTAGAAAAGTATATTTCCCTATTCTTACTGTTTTCTCTTGATGATTCACAACCCCATGAACTCTCCCAAATTTGCAAGAAAAATCTAGGTGGTGCTTCTACCAGCTGCAGCTCTGCTCTGGATGGTAGGGCTTACTCTTGCTCCTCCTCTGCATTGCAGACTGATGACCATCAGCACCTCTCTTCTTGATACCCTAAATCAGCAAAATACCTTGGAAAATCTCCCACAACATACATGTACGGACATGTTCCTCTGTTTTTCTAACTAAACTGCCTAATCAGGTCCTTTAAAAGTGACAGAAAATGCAATTAATTTCAACTGTGTTTTTAAATTGGAAGAGGACAGTGGGTAAAGGGTTTCAGCACTTCTCCATTACTGTGCTAGTATGAGAATCTGATGTTTAAAAGCTTCACTATTAACTGGAGTATACCAGAAAACAGGTCTCCACATAGAATTTTGAACACTCCCCCAACCAGGCCATTTCATGGTTACTGTTAATGATAATTTTTCTTCCTCCTCTTACTCCCATTCCATTTCTGCTTGGAATAATTCTGAGTATATAGTTCTTAATCTTTACTTTTTACTCAACATGCTACATGAAAAATATGATCCAGCCAGCATAAAGATTCTTAAAAAAAAAAACCAAAACCAGCAACATTCAAAATTACTTTCCTCAACAAAAAAAGAAAAATGCAACTATCTGTTCACTACAAAATAAATTTCCAGCTCATTTTCCTTTTCCTCCTGTAGTTTCACAGTGGTCTTCTGTCAAGTTTATAATTAAAAAATAATTTTTCATAACACTGAAAATTTAGCTGACTAAAGTGTTTTTCTAATTAAAAGTCTTCTGAAATGCCACCTTTCAGCAATAATTAGACCACAAAGCATCAGAGGTTAATACTTTTGGAGGAAACGTCTTACTCGATCACAGCAATGATCACATAGCTCAGAAACCCACATCTCACAGTGACTAGGATCATATGCTTCAGAGGATTAAGCAAGAAGTCTTGTGGTAGACAGTAATGGAATAATTTGTCCACAGGGGAAATATAATACTTGTCAAACATGCACCCTGATGTATGAAGACTTACATCAATTTTCAGAAATGATGTATTATTTCTACAAATTTAACTGCATTTTCTCATTAGAGATGCCCCAAAATCATCAAGGTTTTTGCATTCCCTAATATCTTATACTCAATTACTTAAGTGGCGGGGAGTTATACAGGCTAATTATACACTGTATAGGAATATGCCCTTTTCACTGAATTACCACTGCTGCACTAAATTCATAATGGTATTAAAACCTCCATGTCAGTCTCATAAGGTAGTGATAATTAGCTATTTCATCTTGTCTCAGGGAGTGGAAAAATAAAATATACAGTCAACACAGTAGATAGGAAAGGAGATGTTTAACATATGCCTGCAGACATAAGTTTAATGTAAACATCACATGCACATGAACTACAACAACAATCTTTAAACACCTTAGGCTGATTGGAAGCACACTGATTATTGCCAAGCAAACTAGAAGACACAGAAAGCGCCCTACTGTGAGAAACAGAGTTAAACAAACAGAAATATAAGATGACAATAGGAAATATGATTATTATACAAAGGCAGCAGAAAACTGGCAGGTACAAAAGGTAAGCAAAGCCTTTTCCTCCACCTGCTCCTTTCCCAATTTTCAGAATATCCTCTAGATCACAGCAGGGTGCTACAGATCCAGCAAGGCATAGTCCTCCAGACTGAAACAAAAGACCTCCAGGTATTCTAAGGTGACTTTGTACAATGCAGTCTTTACACCTTTTGCATCACAGATAACTCATGGGGAAGTGGAGGAGATTCAATCAACCAACAAACTCAATTTGTCTATTCTCCCTGTCATTCTGTGGCTTTTGTACCTTTATTAAATCACCCCCAAGTCTCAGAGCAAGGAGGACAAGGCAGAGCATTGGTGTTTTAGCAGGACCTGATGGAAAATCCCCTCAGAGGTATGGCAGGTGTCACTGGTGTAAAGTGCAGTTGCCTCCCAGCTGCAGCTCTCCCCACCCAATGCTGCCTTTCATTGCTAGCTTCAAAGCACCAGAACACAGCATCTCCTACAGACTAACACACTTGGAGATACTCATGGATATTTTCTGGCAGCAAATAACAAAGATGATGTCTCTCTGTAGCTGTTTTCCTGCTGTTAGAGTCAGCCAAAATAACTGCTCAAATCACCTGTTTACAGTACCCTTAGTACCTCAGATGTCTTATTCACCCCTCTGCCAATCAATCACTCAGTTAACCATGAATAGTTCCTACCTTGTAAACTCCTCATGAAGGTTGTTCGGTTCTGATGAATAGTACTTAATTCGAAAATGCAACGTGTACGGAGGTCCAACTGTATATGTAGAGATTTTAAATGAGAAAAGTTTACACTAGCTGCGGTTCTGCTAAGGGAGAACAACAGCCACCACCCCACAACCCAAGAAACCCAAAATGAAGTATGTTTTTCCAATTCTTCAAAGCAGCAAATATTTCATGTTTTTAAAATTTAAAAATGCATGAAATAAAAAAAATAGACTTATCATACTTTATGATACTCTAGTCATTACATTAATCAAGCAATAGTTCAATTGGCAAACACACTTTTGTTGAAAGAGGTGTGCCCTGCAGCACACTGTGAAGGACAGCCAGCTCCAGGTACATCGCCTGTAGCCAGGGGCAGGGGGAGATTGGAGGGAGAGGGTGATGCTTCTTGTTACCAGATACAAACACAACTCCAAAAAACCCTGCCCAACAGATCGACTTTTGATTGATACATGTGAATGAGAAAAAGTAAGATAAATAAGGCAAAAAGTGCTGGAGAGGACTCTGGAAGGCACCCGTGAACACAGAAAGCGAACACATTCCACAAAGTGGAGTTACAAGAATTGTTGCTTTCTAATGCCAGGAGGTGAACAATCGGGATTGACTTTCTATGTAACACAGATAATAAAATGTTCCCCAGCTACCATGAGATTGTGACCAATGCAACCTTATCTAAGCCTCATCTTCCAGACCAACAACCTGCTGGAAAAATGACTCTCTCTGACACCTTTCTAAGGTCTTGTGTAACACCACATCAGCAGAGTGTACAAGTGCCTATTAATGATCTATTCCTACTAGACATGCTGCCAAAGCTCTAATAATTAGAGCTTTGACACTGTCTCCAAGGATAGCTCCTAGGAGATAGGTTGTAGTACCTTAGGCTGACAGTTAGGCACCACTGGTAAGGTCTGCATCAGCGAGATAATGACTCTTACCTGCCCACTGCTGGGGGAAAAAAGGAGCAGTGAGCAACATTCATCATGAAGGAGGAGCTCTTCTCAAAGTACCCGCTGAATGCCAAGTAAATAAAAGTATCCTGTTGTGAAACAGACCTTTACAAACTCATCAAACTGCTTCCCACTTTGGCATTCCTCAGGGCAGGGCTTGGCCAATTTCTTTTTAAAACATGTCCTTCACGGATTAAACACAGACAGAACAGCGCAACTAAACTGGCTGAAGGTGTTACAGAATTGTTGATTTCCCACATTTTAAGACAGACCAAGAAAAGGACAAACCTATCACAGAAAGTGCACCTGAAATAGTCACTCAAGGTAAAGCAGTCTGTGATGTGATGAAAAGGTGAGAGAAATCCAACCACCAAAACCTTACCCATAGCAGCTCTATTTACCACCCATTCTAGCACATGGACACCCACACACAGTGAGTGGAAGTAAACTGTGCTACAGGCCTTTGAAGAACTCCTCCTCCACCACCATTTACAACAAAAATAGTCTAGATATTTGGATACTTATCAGAAAGAAAGCCAAAGCACCACTGAAGCAATCACAACCCATCTCTGAGGTCCTGCAAGAGGGTCAACAATTTCCTTGCAAAACACTGTATTTTAATCACACAGAAGCAATATTATCAGCTGGCCCATTGCTGTTGCCAACTGCAGTGTATTAACAAAACATGCTAGTGCTGATGCTGTACTGTGCCCAAGCCTGCAACTAGATTATTATTAGAGATCCAAGAGCAACTTGCCTGCCTTAACCAATTTCCACAAACAACTCAGTGCCAAACCCAGCCCCTCTACTCAAAACTTCCTTTGATGAAACAGCATGTATTTCTACTAGTTTTATTTATAATATACAAAGAAAGAGGTTAACTGTTACACGACAAAATATTTTTCCATTTCCTCTTTGAAAAAAGCCAAACCAAAACCAAAACAAAAAACACGTGAAATCTGTTCTGGATCAAAAGCAGTGACAGAAACCATGATCTGTGTCCAGGCAACTTGATTTCACAGATCACACTGAAATTACCTGGCAACCTACTCTGGCTCAGACAAACAAGATGCTAACTAGGGCTACTGAAGGCTGGTCTATTGCTTATGAGTGCTCCTGCATTTAGACACAATATAGTCAGCCAATTAATCATTAAATTAAATCTATTTTCTGAGAAATATTTATTCCATTAAAGGCCATATTTATACATTCACAATCATGCTCAAATACTGTAAGTTCAAATTCTTAAGTAACAAAATAAACAGGCAGAGATATGGTACTTACTTTTTATTTGCTTCTTAATGAATTTTGAATGGTCCAACCAGTGCTAAAAAAAAGAAAATCCATGTCTAAAAGCAGTTCCACTTCAAGATTTTGTTGACACAATAAACTAGTTACAGTAAAATTTAACAGATAAAAATTCTTAAAAGGAAATATTGCCATATTTATTTGCTAAACTTCTACACATTTGTAAAATTGTTTATTTGCACATTTATTAACTTACCTTCTTTCATGGGGGAATGCTTGACTTATAAATGCATCAGTACTGCCAGCGAATTTACACTCTTCCAGAGAGGAAACCCCAAAATCCAAAGCCACAAAGCAACGGTGTGTAAGGAAAACACCCTTTTGTCTCCAGGTTTAACTGTGGCCCAAGTGCCCCTGAGGACAGCAGGCCAAACCCCTTGGTTTCATTCCATTTTCAACTCCTCTGTTTGATGGAAATCCCCCAGATCCTGTACTGCCCTGCCTTCCACTGCTCCATAGCCAAGTTTTTTCAAGATAAGAATGAAGACTTAACCCCTACTAAAAGCATTTGGGAAAGACTGATGCGTAATCCCCTCCCCTTTTTAAACTCACAGCAAAAAACCTCGAATAGATGCAACTATGATGACAAAAAGTATGTTTCCTAGCAAAGCAAATGCAAGTTGCATCTACAGAAAAGTAGCAATAAACACTCTGGTGTAAATTTAGCTTAAATCTAGGCTATGTTCTACACAAGGCTGCAATCTCATTTGAAGCAACCACATGTAACTGCTCCTGTCACACAACATAACAAAACAGTATGTGGGTTTCCTTGAAATACATGTTTTTCTATCTTGATGTATATTATATGTAAAAATATAAACTAGGTACTATGGAACAAAATCTTAGGAGAAAAAAAACCCTTTCCCATTAAAGCATTCATGCTTTCAGAAAAAGGAGAATCTCTGAATGGCTATTTATCATTCCACTAACACCATGATACTATGGCTAAATACACATGAAACATTATTTGTTGGATAGGAATGCTGGTATTCATTTACTAATTATGTCCTAAATCAAAGCAAAACTTTATTTATCACAGGTATAGGAGGGTATAGATTGAAAGTCTGACAACTTAGGTCCCCTGGGGTAAATAAATCTCACAAAAAAAGGAGAGAGAAAAAGAAATGGAACAATTATTCTGAAGGTGCTTTTATTTGCAAGAGACTTGCTAGACTCCCTTAGGTGAGGCTGCCAAGGAAGCCATCCTTAAAATCTGAGAACTCTCTGAGAATGGAAATAAAACATTGTAACAACTCATGCAAATGCATTCCTTAGAGCTGCAAGTGATTTATTCTGTCTCTATTTTGCTCTCTTATGAAGAATCGCGACAGAAACCACAGCAGTTCACAGAAGCTTTGTGAAATTTCAAATTGTTAATAAGGAAAAAAATACCAACTTGAAACTTTGCTTTTTTAACTGAAATTATACAAATCCATTGCCTTCACACATCCAGGACAAATTAATTTTTTATGCTTAAAATATCTAGCTACAAAAATGTGTCTCAATATTTATTTTGTCTAAAGATAAACCACTCAAAGACAAATATACTGATTCCATTAAAAGGAAAGTTTAGCTTCACATTAAATAAAACCAAACAAGAATAACATCTATACTATAGGCAAAAATCTTCCAATAACTTAATCTGTGGTTCATGTTAGTACCATGTTCAGAAATAAATACCGCACAACCTGAACTAAAATAATTCCCATTGAGATAACAGCTGGTAGTCCCAATTTTGGAATGTGGTGTTCTATGCATATCAAAACTCAAATAACAGCCAGTTTCAAACTGATTATTCAGAAGTGTAAATACTTCAAAGAAGGTTTAAAAATTACTAACAATACTCTAGGAACTACTTGCTCAGAGCATTAAACAAGACTGAAGCCTGGACAGGAAACCATCTTTTACTCTCTGCAACCGAGCAGCCAGGGACAGACTGCTCCAGGAGATAAAACACAGCAAGCACTAAACTCATCTCACTTCAGAAGCACAAATGAGCTGCCGTTTTACTCCCATCCCACACTGCACATCGTGACTGTGTGTGATGTGGTCACCACACAAATCGTGAAATACGAATGTGGAGGTAGGACATGGACTGGCAGTATTATAGGCCCAGAGTTCCCAGGGCCAGCATTGAACCATTCCCATGCATCCTGTCACTGGATATAGGAAGAAGAGCTCCGCATCTCCCTCTCTGCTTCCCTGCCTCAGCAAGCTACAGAGAGCAGTGAGGTTGCTCCTTTAGTTCTGTCAGGCAAACTGGAAGTGCGCATGCTGGATTAACTTCTATTTATTCCTGTTTAATCTCAGGATAATTTATTTGCTTTGCCAAATAAATGATGTTTCCTATGGTATCAACTGAAATAAACCAGTAGACACTTGTTTTGGGATTCACGTGTTGTAAACACACCAATTAATTCCACATGAAATAAACACCATTTTAAAAAAAGATTTCTTAAAATACTGGAAGCACATATTTATCTCAGCATGCCCTCCTGTTGATCACTCACTTAATCTAACTGAAGAGGAAAACGCAAGTACCTTAACACTTTGTAAGTAGTAGCAACCAATATCAACTCAAAATAGCCAAAATAGGGAAAGATGTCTGTGTGTCAAGATATATCCAACGAACTATAGCTACTGGAGCAGCCTACATAAGGACCACAATGACTGCCAAATGAAGACTGAAATGTGCATTACCACTGGTTGACATAAACCCATCACACACCTGAGCTTTGCAAATTCTACTGCCTCTCCATTTGCTTCCTAAAAGAATGAAAAATCCTTGTCTTGATCTATACAGCCCTCAAAGGTGACATGAAAATGAAAAAAACATTTGACCCTTTTTGGCTGGCTTGCTTTGCTAGTTTAAAATGCATGAAGAATGTCTTGAATACACTGTTTGCCCTTAGGCTTATTTATATACATCACTATCAGTAAGAGAAAGCCCATTCTTACTGCAAGTTTTTTTTGGTCTCTCAAAAATATTAATTAAATTATTTCTCAAGCCTTAACTAGAGGTGCAGGAAGGAGAACTGTGTTAAATGCTTAGGTTCAGAAAAGAAGGTGTGCTAAACAACAGCTGGCATCTTTAAAACCAAAAGTCAATTATCTTCACAACTGTCTTCTTGCTGTCTGATTTCTTAGGCACCTGAAGCTGTCTGCCATCAGCCACATGGCCTTCTAAAGCAGAGAGGATTAAAACATACATAACACATGGGAGGAAAGAATCACCAAAAAACAAGTCAATAAAAACCCTACCCACAGTTAAAAGTAACAAAGGAGAAAGAGCTCTTTCCTCTTCTCTTCTGAAGGTCACTATATTATCATGGAAGTAACAGAAAACCAAAGGAGAATTGGGGTCACGTAGAAACTCAGGGACTACGCAAGCATATACTTAGAAACAGTACAAGCTCCCAAGAGCCCAGAGCTTAAAACAACGAGAAGCCTGTTCTTTACACTCATATAGAAGTTTCTTTGATCCATCCTAGAAAGTTATGTTCCTCTTGAAAATGTAGATGCAGATAAAACTGCTTTTGGAAAAATTACACAGATACAACTCAGGATTTAATGAACACCAGAGGTGATACTGGTTAGTATTTTCAATAGGAAGCAGCATGATAGGACACAATGCACCTCTGTAGTGTGACTCATGACTCCAAACTGCAGAGAGAGCGAGCGAGAGCTGGGACACAGAAAGGCATTTCTAAACTTGCTGGAGAAATTATTTAAATAAGGATTTGTGAGATCAACATGGACAATTACAGCACTCTCCAACTACAGGCTGAGCCCCAAGGGAGAAGGGAGGAGAGTGCCTGGCATTCATTGGGCTGCGGCACCAAGGTGACAGGATGAGACTCTCAGGGGGCCACTGAGGTCCTTGGGGCCTGGAGGTGGGTGTTTTTCAGTCTGAGTGCAAGAAGCCTACCCAAGGGGTGACTGAAGATGAAGCCAAATCCTCCATGGCAACAGATCAACCAGGAACTTAGAGATCCAGCTTGTGCTTTGGTATGGTGGTTTGACCTCGGCTGGCCACCAGGAGCCCACCAAGCTCCTCTATCACTCCCTCTCCTAAACTAGACAAGGGAAGTCAATATGGCGATAGTCTTTCCCAAGATAAAGACAGAGAGATCACCCAGCAATTACTGTCATAGGCAAAACAGACTCAACTCAGGGAAATTTATTTAACTTACTACCAATCAAATTGGAGTAGGATAATGAGAAATAAGAACAAATCTTCAAACACCTTTGCCCCATTCCTCCCTTCTTCCCAGGCCCAACTTCATTCCTGATTTCTCTATCAGGGAAACAGGAAGTGTGTGTTGTGGTCAGTTCATCACACATTATCTCCAATGCTCTTTCCTCCTCACACTCTTCCCCTGCTCCTGTATGAGGTCCCTCCCACAACAGACAGTCCTCCACAAGCATGGGTCCCTTCCACAAGGTACAGCCCTTCAGGAACAGACTGCTCCAGCATGGGTCCCTTGTCCGGGTCACAATTCCTGCCAGAAAACCTGCTCTAGCATGGGCTCTTTTCTCCATGGGTTACAGGTTCTGCAAGAAGCCTGCTTCAGTGTGTGTTCTCCATTGGCTCACAGCCTCCTTTGAGCCCATCCACCTGCTCCAGTGTGGGGTCATCCACGAGCTGCATGGTGGATACCTGCTCCATTGCGGACCTCTATGGGCTGCAGGGGGACAACCCTACTCACCATGGTCTTGTCCCACCGGCTACAGGGGAATCTCTGCTCCACCACCTGGAGCACCTCCTCCCTCTCCTTCTTCACTGATCTTGGTGTTTGCAGAGTTGTTTCTCCTATTCTCACTCCTTTCTCTCAGCTGCTGTTGTCACTATAAGTAACTGGAGCACTGAGTACTACAGAATACTGTTACCTGTATAGCTCTTGGGACCTCCAGCTGTGACTGATATTTGTTGCTTTAGAGCACAATCCAGAGACACATCCTGCAACAACCACAGTCTCAAATAGCTCAGCATCCAGAGAAACAAGAGAGATTCAGGAA